TATGGCTCTATAAACAGCTGCTGCACAACAAATACATTTGTCTGCTTCCAAGTTGAACTGGGGAGCAGTCAACAGATCAGTTTTACACATGCCATGGTGCCTAATGACAATGTTAATAGATGAGAGGGAAGTATCCAAGATACAAGCAGCTGTTTCTCTGCATTCTCTGATTTGATAAAAAATTCATGATACATTTCTTAGTTTTCTTTTCTTTTTAAGATACTTCTTTTCTAGGTCATCACTTCTAAATAATCTCTTCTAATACTGAAAGGAAAAGCTGGTTTGCTGACCAAGAAGTGCTGCTTTCTACTAACCAAGCCAAAGGACTTACTTGTCCACAGGCAGCTAGCCACACTGTGTAGTACTAACTGCGTCCTGTGATAGAAGTGGACAAGAACATCAGCTTAACTCTAGTTATTATTAGAGAAAAAGCTTGAAAGGGCAAAAGTACTTGGACAGAATTTACCTGAAAGCAACTGAGAAGCACATGATGGCTTGATATTCTACAGCATGTAAATTTTTATCAACTACATTATAGGAACAGAAAAGTAATTTTAAGAGTTAAATCTAGTAAGCAGAGGGCATTTGCCCTCCCTCTTCAAGAGCTTCAACAAGGCAAAAGCTTCTCCAACAGAAAGCTACACCAACACAAAAAGCACTCTAAGGACTAAAGTATTAATGCCCAGAAGTCACAAACACTCACAAGAAAAACACCACAGTTACCCAAGCTGAGATTTAAGCCAAATAACTCCTAAACAATATCATTCGCACCTTCTGCTGCATTTTTTGTTCTCCTATATTACACTGATAGCAAAACTAACTTAACACGCTGAAACCATTCCCCAGCGTGCAGAAAATGCACTTACTCCCAACCAAACTTACACAACAGCATTAATCCCCCCACAGTTATCACATACCTTACAGCAAAAGCAGCAAGCAACTTTTCTCCTCCATTTTGTTAGCCACTACTTTTACACATACTTCTTCCTATAGTTGGCTTATCCAGCTTTTCCTGCAATGTTTTCCAGCACTACCTATTACATATACATTAAAACACCAAAACAAAAGATGAAATAAAAACCTTGAAACTTACAAACCTTCATTTTTGATGAGCATAACCCTCCATCTGAAAAACAACCCTCCACCTCTGCTCCTTCCAAACACATTCTAACACTCTCTGCTTAATTTTATACGATCCACACCTGCATTCTGACCCACCCTCCCATATGCTTCACACCTGTGATTCACAGATAAGCTTTACTTCCAATCTCACAGCTGGGAAATCAAACCTTGGTGTTCCACTCGCTAATGGAACAATAAAACCCAGCATTTTGGCTGGCTTCTTTCCTTGCACTGTTAGAAGGATCCTGAGCTCTGAAGATGAGGAAAGGTTAGTGTTTGCTTGTGATGCTTTTATGTTTAGCTTTCTTAGCTGTCCTGTTTTGGTCAAGGGGATGCTTTCTTACTTAGGAAAGTTCCATTAGGGGTTTTCTTTAGAAACAGAAGCCTTGTATTCCAGAAATACTTAAAGCTTTTGACATTAATGAAAATGAAACCTTGTATGTTCTGACTTGGTTTACGTTTTAGTATGAAATTAATAGTGCTGTGTTAAGTATTTCATGTTGCGTTAAGTTCTTGGCTATTTGGGCAACAACACAGAGTTAGTAAAGTTTAAAAATGCTGTTTCTGTGTGTAAAGAGCAATTTACTTTCTGTTTCTTGATGTATAAATGTATGATTATGTGTTTGTATAGAAAATAAGGCTACTCAAAAAGCAGTCAGGGTGTTTTCCTACAAAGCCACCAAAAACCGGTGTTGGAGTAATCAGCTGTATGGACTGATGCACTTTGAGTTAGCTACAGCTTTAAGGAGCTCTTTGGTGGTTTGTGTTTATTCTCAGGTACTGACACTGTGAATGCATTGGCTTGTTGAAGTGAGACTTTTCACTAATACTAAATGACTAATAGTGCTTTTATGATCAATTATTGAAGTTATTTGAGAGATGAGAGCTTCTTAAACAACATCTTGTTTATAACTCAGTGTCTGAGTCCTGATGTAGTGTGAAGCAGCTCCTCTACCAGTAGCTTATTGTGAAATCAGTATGAAGGGCTTTATTTTCTACCCTACTATTCCTTGGTGTCTCCTCTGAGTTGTCTTTTTCAGAGACTGGCTTCTTTCTGTGGTTTGCCCTTCCTTTGTCTGAGCTTTTCTCATTGCAAAGCCGAAAGCTGAACAAACATGGTTTTGCTCAAGAGACTCAAAGTGCTCACCTGGCTCTTTTGGTTGAATGACCCTTGTTCTTCTGCTGACTGTATCAATAAGCTGTTTAAATAATTCAAGCTGCGTGAAATAAGTTTGTAATGGAAGTCTCAGAGAACATAGTACTTAAAGAATCAATGCAAGAAGGTACTTGAATAGCTCTAGTCTGTGTAACTGCTGTCCTAACAGCTCTGGAAGAGGATACAGCTTCTGGATGTGTTTTGGGTGATGGGGTTGTTGGAGCTGTTGTTGCTGGGCATATACAACATCATTTATTGTTGAGGAGATACTGGGAGGCAGCAAGGAGTGGTTTTCCTGGAGAAGGAAGAGCAAGGTGAAAGAAGTAACCTGATACAAAAATAGAGCTTAGAGAAAAGATCCCCTATATGCTTCTCATAGTTGAGATGCAGGAAAAGTTCCTGCAGGCTCTTGGGACAAGCAGGTTTAAGAGAGCCTCTTTTCCTAGGACGGTTTACTCATGCAGATGTGAAAGGGGCTGAAACCGAGGCAGCAGCAGGGAGGACCACAATGAAAACCTGGAAAATCAGCGTGCTGCAGATAGGGCCTATTCCCCCCAACCTAGACAGCACAGGTTTTGAGAGGACGCGCTGGTGCGAGTGGCATCGTTGTCCTTATATGTACTTACACACCAGCCTTCCTAGCTCCTCGCTGGAACAGTTATGCAAACAAGTGAGATGTGCTTGCCATAATAGGTATGAACACCAGAGGGAGAATCCCCACTGAACCCCAAAGCACAACTTGCTCTTGAGGGGCTGAATGTAATGTGAGAGCAGGCTGTGGAATGGCTTATCCCAGATGATGAAGAGGAGATTTCTTATGCGTGACCTCCTCTTTCATTCTCCACATCCCCCTCCTTCTCTGTGCACATCCCAGCTCTGTGGATCTCAGTGGAGGCAGGGCAGTGAGTGCAGGGTGACAGCACTCCTCTGTGTCTTGGTTTCTGATGCATTGATTCTATTAAAGCAAAGCAGCATGCTGGCTATTTACAGCATAGCTTGGGACATCTTCTGTCAGACTTGTAATGCAGGGAGACAAGCTGAGTGCCGCTTGGTTTCTGGACAGCGGGGGAAGGGATTAAATGCACTTTTCTCCATTGATTTATGCCCTGCACTAAAAATCAATGGTGTTTTCTCAGATCCACTCAACTACTGGAAACCAGCAGCCTGTTTGGTCAAGTGTGTGGGGAAAAGTTCTGAAGGAATTGGCTCTTATGATATGGGTGGATGGGACAGATATAGATGCTCTATGGGAAGCACTATATTCATTTGGCAGTGATTGCTTTTGTATCATAAGCCTATATTAGTTGAATATGCTGTTTATAGCATTTTCTCCTTCACACAGAGCAGGAGCCAAATGCTGCTTTTGCTTCCATTGGAGGTTGGAAGGGGCAAATGAAACTTGAATTGGATGCAGAAAGATAGATTTTATCATGTCTCTCAAGGGTTCTACCTGAATCTAGGGTTTGGGTTTTTCCAGCGCAGCAGTATTTCTCCCAGTACGAGCTTGAAAAGCTTGTACCATAATTAAGAGCATTCCTATAGAGCATAGAGCTATTCACTGTGGTCTTCATAAAGATTGCTGTATTTGCACTTCTGAAGAGGGAGTGCAGCGTGCTGCCCCTGATCTTACAAGGGTGCTGTATAAAAACTGTGTATAGATGGTGTTATGAGACAGCTTAAAACTGATGTCAGAGACCTCAGACCACAGCTTGGTAGCCTTGCATGTGGCCTGCTCTTTCTTTAAGGTCTTAGAAATACTTTCCTAAGTGTTCTTAATGGAAGGGATTTTTTTCTGTCTTCTAAAGCTTTGCTTTGTCCCAGGTTCCACAATATGGGTAAATTTCACTTGCAATCTGTTGTGTTTCAGGTAGCCAGTGTTACTGTTTTGTTAACATCCAAGCAGCCTAGCTGGAAGTTCTCTGCTTATCTGAAAAGCACATGTATTGTAGGGCATATGGATATAAAGGTGTAAGCATGAATTGTGTATGTGTAAAGTGTAATAGATCAGAATGGTTGTGTTTTAATAAGGAATAAAAGAGTTCTGGCTGGTCAAAGCCATCATCTGTGAACTTGCTGTCACATTTGAATCTCCTTATAGAAACAGGTTTGTCTTCACTGCTGTCAGGGCAGAAGCAGAATGGAGCATCTTAGCTTCTAAAACTTCCTAACTGCATTAGGGTGAAGCTCAAGATGAGCTGTAAAGCTGTACTGGGCTGCTTTTGGAGGCGAGTTATAAATTGCATCCCATACCAGTCATTAAATGTAGACAACACATTGCTGCTTCATTTGGCTTTTTATTTCATCATGGAATGCAGAGTTAAACCAATTTTTAAGAGTTTTTTCTCTCCTAAAAACTTAAAGAAAACCACGAAGCAAATAGAAGTATTCCAGTAAGACTAAAAGCTTTAATTCTGCAATCTACTAGCTACAAAAGGGAATAAAGTTAATATATACGTGTGTGTTTATCGCTCTGAAGAGCATGTGTGCCTTTTTCCATGAGTCTGTCTTTAGCCCTTGAGTGACTAATCTGACTTTTTTCCATGCTGGATTTTTACTGCCTCCAAGCTTAACTGTTTTTACACTAGAGAAATCCTCTTGTTTCTCCTTTAAAGGTAAATATATATATATATACACACACTATTGCTAGAAATCAAGAGAAGCTGTACCTCACCCATGTCTGGTCTTCACTATTAATCCCAGCTGATGGTAGGGAGGGGCTCTTCTGGGAGGCAGCCATGTGGTGAACATTGAGCACAGTGTTTTCCCCTGCTTCTCTCCTTTTCAGACAAGCAAAATTGTTCTATGCTGCCGTTAGATGTGAACTCCTTCCTGCGCTGCCTCTGTCTCCTCTTCACCAGAAACTCAAAGGCCTGAATTACTGGCTGCAGAGATCTAAAAGCTCTCACTGAATCTGGGTGGAATATGGACAAGGAGATGAAGAGCAGAAGGGAAGAAAGAGTGAAGTTGGTTATTTTTCTGGCACATGGATGCAGTTACACTCGGTGCATTCCAGAGGCGTTCCTTTGAATCCTGTGCAGGTCTGCTTGCTGTTCCTGGGAGAAAGGAAGAAAAAGGGAAGAAAAGTCCCTCTAGCTTGGAGACGGAATGTCTGCACTTCCCATTCTCTTTTTAGGTAGGTTGGTGTTTTGGTTTTGCTTAGTGTTTTTAATCAAACTTCCATGCATCCTCTCTTTGCGCCCGAAATACATTTCTCATGTGTTAGAGAAAGGGGTTTGTAAAGAGAAAACTTTTCTGGGGAGCTCTGATTTCAGTGGTGTTCGGGTTCCGATGTTTTCCTTGTTGTTTTATTAGCAGGTCGATTGCCAGGGATCTCTTAATATTTCATTCGTGGTGGTTAAGCAGACTTAGTCTGGAATGCGTTTCTTGCCTAAAGAGTGTAGTGCCTTTAAGGAATGAACTCGCGAGGGGCTTGAACCTCTCTGGCAAAACAAGGTGAACAAAATGTCTTTGTTTTGTGCATAGTGTCAAATGTGTTTAACTCTGTGTTTTGATTTGCTTGGGCATTTAACATGCAGATTCTGAAAGAAAAAGGGGTTATTGTTTCCAATTGATGCCTAAGATTAGAAACAGATGTGTTGAAGTGCAAGAGGGAGGAGTTGGGGGGGAAGGATGGGAGTAGGGAGATAAAGGGGGAAAGCAAGAAATGGGAACAATGAGGGCTGCTGAAAGAAGGGGAAGAAAAGAGGTAGAGGCTGACTGTTGAACAGGAGAGGAGCGGAGAATGGCAAAGGAGAGTAAAGGGTTTAACAGAGCTGTTTGTTAAAGCTATAGCCTACGGAGAAAAGAGTTCGCAGCCCTGAGGTCTTTGAGGGGGTTTGCCTACAAGACTGACTCAGAAGCAGCCTGAGTTTCTGCACCTCCAGAGGCACTGTAATGTGATGAGTGAGCTCCTGTCTCCATTCTGCTCACCACATCATGCTGACAGCTTTGAAATCTGCTGTGGCTGGGTAAAGCCTGCGATTCCTGGCTCTTCCCGTGCCCCAGGAACACTGGTACAGGTGTGAAAAAGTGGGTTGGTCTTTGATTCCATGGGAAGAGTTGAGCCCCACAGGATGGTGAACTCATGTGGTGGCTGGACACAGAGTTTCATGACTTCCCCCTTAAGTCTCAGAGGTGTGGAACATGGACTAACAAGACTTATAGGTATCTGAAAGACAGGCAGCACTTAGAGCTGCTGAATAAACTGGAGAAAGGGGGTTTGCTCTAGGAATGCTGTTAGCAAAGGTTTTATCTACAGGAATGTGGCAGGGGGCTTGGATGTGCTGCAGAATCCTGCAGGGAGTGCAGGCAGCGGTTTCTCCGTCTGGATACCTCCTTTGGCTACTTGTGCCTCTATGGTGAGACTGCTTAAGACTCCAGGATGAGATGGGAAGGTTAAGAACAGCAAGGCTTCTGCTAGAGGGGTCAGCCCTGCAGAAATGGCCAGGAAAGCAGCTCTGTGGAAGGGTGGCTTCGTCCACTGCAGTTCTTGTTTCCATCAGTCTTTGCTCCACCAACCCTATTCATCTGCTGAATATTCCCATATGTTGAAGGCTCAGAGCAAAAGTAATAAGCTCAAGAGACAAGGTGGTTTTGGCAGCAGTGTAATGACAACTTACCTTTGCATGACTAGGACTGCTTTCGTCTATAAAACACAATGGGCATTATCATTGTTACACCTTTGGCATCTAGGCAACTTGTTCTGCTCTGTGTCCAGCTTCATTCACCAATACTGGAAGCATGTTCTAGGGAAAAGTAAGGAAGTACTGTGATTCCCCATTGAAAACAAGGAGGCTGGGGAGTCTTCTTTGCTAGCTAGGGAAAGTCTAATTGCTTTTCTGCAGTGAAAAGATATAGAAATGCCAACGACGGCTTGTTTTTCTTGCTAATAACATGAAAGACTAGTGTGGAAAACAGGGGTTTTAGCAAAGACAAGCAAACTTGAAAGGAAAGTTGCCTGATTTGGGTTTTCATTATTAAACATACTAATGGCATTTCTAATATATACAGTCCTTGTCTTTTAGTGTTTACAGCTCTGGGGCAAGTGAGCAGCTGTGTGAGGAGACAGGAAACAGGAGCCAATTAGTTTTAAACCAAGACAAGATAAAAGACCTTGCGAAGTGAGGGCAAAAGCATGACCATGCTTACTTCCCTGGTAAAGGCTAGGTAAATGAAGCAGGAAGGGGTGAGGAGTGGAAGGTAATGGCTGTGAATGTGTGTGCCTACATGTAAGTGTTTGCCATCTGATTCTCATCTCTGTCCGCAGCTGGTCAAAACGGTTTCGAACTCCTTGTGTAACACACTGCACTCTTAAGAAACAAAAGGAGTGTTTCCAAGAGAAACAGCTGATTCTTTGGTGTAAAAACTCGAAGTTGCATTTCTCAGGCAGTAAAAAAGCCCCAACAAACTAGCGAATGCTTTCATTTAAATGTTTTACTGAACTAAAGTTTTCAGGTGCTGGCTTTTTCCCCTCTCCAAGTTAGTTCTGAATGCTTTGAATGAGCCATCCACTAAAGTAGAAAACTGATTTATTTTTTTCTTGTCATCAAATACAGTTGCCTGTGTAATGCTGGCTTTGACACTACTACATGCTTTTTCTTCACTTACTGGCTAGTGCATGAGTTCTGCCCTTCAGAAACCAGTGCCTTCAAGATTCACAGCAATGCTGCGAGAGGCCAGATCAGCCATCCAGCTCTCTGGTGTCCTGCTATTAGCAGTGAACCTTTACATGCGTTGCTCAGCACAATGCTCATTGAGACCGATTTACTGTCTGCCAAAGATGTAATCAGTGTGTGAAACTGGGGTGATGCTGCTGGAGTGGGTGCAGCTGTAACAGCACAAGTATCTCTGTACTGATGTAGCTGAGCTCTGCCCTTTAAGCCCAGAGGTCAATGACTCTCTTACAGCACTGTCCCAGGGGTATGCAGTTGCTGCATTGAACACCAAGACTCCAATTGTCTCATTGCACTGGGGAAAAGGTTATGGTGCAGATCCTTCCCGAGCCTGTTGGCATGAGCAATTGGGTCTGACAGCATGCATTTGCCTAGGTATCCACCAGCCTTCTAGCTTGAAAATCCATGATGATATGGAAGCAGCTCAACTGCATTCAGCAGTGGTAGGTCAGCCTGCGGCTATGCTCTAGTACACTGACTCTGGCCTTCTCTCCTGCTCGAAGAGCACATGCAACCTGCAGTGTGCCTTATCTCATCTCCTTGAGATCCTTCTCCTTAAACCCTTGCAATGCTACACTCCAAAGCCAACCACTGCAGCGTTTTGCTTTAAAAAAGCACTTCTCTCCGTGAGGTTACTGGGAAGTTTTACACTTCAATGGAATGCATCTGCCTGGAACTAGCAAAAAGCAAGGAGACTGTTCTAAGCAACCGAAAACCTAAGCTGATGGATTTCATATTCCTGATTTTCCCAGATTTCTTAGCAATAACTAACAGTGTGTAGTATACTTTCTATTTCCTACCTTTCTCATGCTTCCTTCTCTGTTGCTTTTGTTTGTTTGCTTCTTGGTATATGTAAAAAGCTTGGGAAAGGGATTTTGCTCTATGTGTGTATGGAACTTAAAAAGCCTTAGCTCAGGAGTGGAGTACAAAAAGATCTGTAGCTGTGGAAAGGGGTTTTATGTGCAATTTTGGGAGGAATTCACCTTTTTGTGCCTTTGGGTTCTGAAGGAATTCAGGTAACTGAATGTATTTAGCTTAAAAGGCTCTTCTCCAAAGGACAATTGGCAACTCATGGGAACTCCAGAAGCAGACAACAAAATAAGCTGTATGCAAGATGGAGCCTCGCTCAGTTTAGTTCTAGGGCAGGGCAAAGAGCTCTTGAATAGAACACTACTCAAGGAATACTGAAGGCAAGGGAGCAAAGCAGTGTATCCATTTGGCACTCCAGGAGGGAATTAAAAGGAGCTAGACATAACTTAATTGTTATATGGCAGGGTTTCAGGGGTAACACTCCTTGTGAGACACTAAAATTGTTCTAAAGCAGGGATGGTTTCCATCAAATACCTGCTGTCAAGAGGCTTGGTGAGAAGTTGCCTGTTTTCCTCTACCGGTGCTTTGTTTTAAATGCAATAGTTTGGATTTTTAGCATTAAAAAAACCAACCCATGTTTATTTTGGGAGTTATTTTTATCCTTTGTTTTTTTTCCATTTTACCATGAGGACGAAAAGGAGAAGAAAGGTAACGTTCCAGGGTGAGAAAAAGCAGGATGCCAAAGAGCTGCAATTCCAATGATGAATTCATTTTATGGGAAATAAAGCTGGAGGGGAAGGCAACTCTTGTGCATTTCCCATGGAAAACAACTGGTGTTTTGCCTTTGTGGCCACCCTGGACCTTGTCTCCAGTGTGTAGAATTAGCGGTCTGTTCCTGTGGGGTACCCTGGCCCACTTCAAAATGATGTTTTGTGTAAGAGCAGCACAAGCTTCCCAGAAATGTCATTGCACAACTGGCCTGGAGATATCCTGATCTTCATCCTGAGGATCACAACAAATGCCCCTGTTTTCCTCAAGGCAAATACAGAGTTTTATAGGGAATTTAGCAGGTTTGCAGCCTGGGATTTGAGCCTTTAGGAACTGCCTGGAAAGAAATGTAAACAGTCACTCAAAGCCTTGTGTGTAAACGTGCCTTCTATGCACTATTAAAACCAATGCATTTGTTGGTTGTGTATCTGGAATGCAAAGAAAGCTCTGCTCGTGTGCACACAGTATTGTGCATGTCTTGCATGCACTAATGTGGCTACTTTGGGTAGAGCGGGAACTTGGTGGTGCCCTGTCCAAAAGATGAATGGGTCTTTTCTTCCTCTCCTCTTTCCCCAAAGCTGTTTTTCTCCATCTGTTTTTAGAAGTGGTTGGTTTACAGAAGCAGCCCAACAAAAAGCCAAGGGTGAAGTCAGGTCACTGAGGTCTGTGAATAGATACTCAGATGACAGGATAGTGGAGGATGCAGGAAGCACAACAATGGAAAAATGTGTGAAGTGATGGAAAGTCAACAAGCGAGGGTGAATTTCTATCTTTATCTCTTAGGCTCTATTTTCCCTTCAGTCTGCTTTAGTGTTGCTGAGTGAAGTAACAGCTCGCCTCTGCCAGAACCCACGGGGTTCAAGCCTTTCCTAAAACATTATTT